TGTGCCACGACTGGCTTGCCGGCTGTAGTTCAAGGTCATAGTTCCAAAGAGCCCGCGCAAGAGTAATACGCATCTCGATATGTGCAAGACTATAACCTTTGAGCAATCGTGGGTATGAACGGGGAATACAGAATTGTACTTACTTCATGCCAATACAGTTTCTTGGCCCATATGAAAATGGCTGGAAAACTTCGGTGGCGTCGTTCGCAAAGGGCGTAGTGTCAAGCCATCTCTCGGGGATAAATTGGTCGGGGAGGGTGAAATTTAAAGTCGACGAATACGCAACGTAGTGGCTGACCGAAACTTTGGTCTGCAAGATGTCAGCTTTGAGTCCTACAGCAATATTTTCCGAGAAAATACTCACATCTTTAGCTATCCAGTTGTCGCAGATCGAAGCGCCACCTTTGGGTACCTGGCGAGCCAGACCAGATGGAACGGGAGGATGCATACGGAGACCTTCCTTTAGTGCTGCAAGAAGGTAGTCAATCTGACAAACCGACTGAGCATCGATGTCTGCTTCAGTCGCGAAACGAGATCGGATTTCATTTACAAGTTTTTGATACACGGCAGGATTTCGTAGCAACCAATAAGTCGTGGCAGTAAGAGCTGTAGCCGTTGTTTCGCTTCCAGCAGTAATCAGGATGTTTGCATTCTCGCCCATTTCATCAGCCGTCATCCCTCGTTCATCGTTATGGCGTAACACGTATGACAGGAAGTCTTTGCGGGCGTTTGGATCGTCCGGCTTCGCACCTAATTCTGCACGCATCTTGACCTTGTCGAAGCTTTGACGCTGGTGAACTTGCTGTCTTGCGATAAGATCATGCGGTAGAAGAAATTTCAGGATATGGAACGCTCGTGGGTAGCGCCTGAGGCTCTGAACATAGGATGAAAGCTTGAAGCCGTCGAAGATAATGGCGACCCACGGATGGTAGTCCCCACTGTCGAGACATCCGAATGGTTCTCCAAATGCAAGATCTCCCAAAACATCGAAAGTCAGGAGATTATACCACAGGCATAGATCCACAACTGCTGTTTCTCCTTGTTCATCTGCCCGAGTACCCAGAGATGAGATGAGCTTGTCAATATGTGATCGCAAGATATCTTCTTGACCCCGAAGCGCTTTCTCGGAGAATGCATGGGACAATAGCCGCCTCATACGACTATGGTCTGCATCATTGGCTATAAGGATATTCTTAGACTCTGTAAGGGTTCCACGATAGAGGCGAAGGTCTTTGCTCATAGTTGGCTTATTTGGTTTGCCATGGCCGTAGATTTCGTTCCACGCCTGAGCGGATATGAAGGACACATCGTTTGGAGAATATCTTACGATCGGACCGTACTCTTCATGGAGAGCTTTCAGTGTGTGAGGCCACTGCCCAGTGGTTAGTTTGTACACATAAGGAAGCCCGGACGCTCGATAAGCTATTGGGCCTGGCAGGGAAGCAAGTTTGTGGAAAAACAAGTTGTATATCCGAGTACCCAACAGCCACAAGATCTGAATTTTATTGTCAGCACTGCAATATTCAAGTTCCTGCGTTAAATTGGGAGTACTGTGTGCAATCACAAGCTACACTGATTGAATCAGGAATCCGCGAGAAAATGCTTACAGGAAGAGCGCACAGAACATATTCAATAAATAGCCATTCAGGCACAGTATTTGGTTTAATTAGAGCTGTAGAAAGCATGACAGTAAGCTCTCTTTCTTGATGACCCAATTGATTGAACAGAAGCATGGGCGGCTGTCGAAGTTCAAATACAGTTCATCTATTGTCAGCTCGGATGCCGACTAAGAGCTCCGCATCCTGAGACCTAATATGAAACATTCAAGTTATGCGGGATCCGCGTTTGTTCGTCGGTTCTCTGTGCCAAACTATCTTCGGACCAATTTTATACCCTAAATAAGTCGTACAACGCTCATAGTGATCACTAGGCTCACCTCAGCAGCAGCGGGGAGGTCATTTGTTGAATTTCCGAGGCTTGATCTACATAAGGTTCTTACCTTGAACTATGATCCTTTTACTCTTGTCACTCGTGCAAGGTTGGAGCGAGATCTGACCGACGCTGCGAAATTAGAGCGAGATCTGGCCGACGCTGCAAGAAAGTGAGATGCATGTCAATCATATCATCGCAAGCGAGGGATATTTACGTTTCGGAAATGGCGGGCCTTCAATTGGCTCCGCTGCCTCGGGAGTTTGTTTGAGGTAGACTCACGAGCTTTTTATTATTATAATTATTGTCCAACGGATTATCTAATATTCAGTTAACATTCAGTTAATATTAAAAATAACTAGATCAAATAAGTAATAATAAAGTTTCAGAGTGGATTTACTAATAGTCGTTGATACTCTAAAACGATAAAATATGGAAATTCTACTAATTTCATTTTTTTATTAATTCAAATGAAATTCCCAGTTTAGTAGAGTCAATTGATATAATAAAAGTAAAATTTCTTTTATAGTTAATCTATAATTAAATTAAAACATACGATATATAGCGATAAAAATACTTTAGGTCTCCTATTAAAGCTTTTTAATATATCATCTAATATATTCGACGTTTTTATAATATCGCTTAATCTTATAAAATTATATAAGGCTCGAATATAGGACATTTCGAAGTATATAGTCGAACCGGGATTTTATAGTCGATATAATAGTATTTATCTAATTATATAATGACTAAAATATTTATATATATAAAAATCACTTGATTTATTAAATGTTAAATCAATAAATTTTAAGTTTAAGTTTAAATTTAATATGATCCCTATATTATTTTATAGCTTCAAGTCAGGGCTATAGTTCGATATAGTACGAAAACAAAATCAATTAAAATCTCAATTATTATCGGTTTTAAGTATTAAAGACTAGAAATAAATAAAACTATTATATAATACATTTGATTATAATGTAATTACTTATATGTGTTATTATTATAGTCAAGCACTTTATGCGCAATCGAGTTATAGATATAATTCTATTTTTTTAAGAATAAATTATCCTCTGCTTATGTGTTTCTTCTATAATAAAATGTTATAAATATTCGTGAAGAGAGATCGTTTATTCTATAGTTGTAACATCGGTAAGTAATAGTAAGGAATCTATGTATCATTTTAAAGTAGATAAAACTTTGGATTCCTGTTATACGGCACCCTGTATGCTCTCCACGCTATTAGTTTCTTGATCACCTATATGATCTAGCCGTAGCAGCCGGCGCAGGTAGATTGCCTGAATAATTAAGAACAGCAGGAACAACCACATAGCTACCAGCATCCAAGCCACAATGACCCCGATAACCTGCATGGGGAATACTTGAAAGGCATTCGTAAGGCAAAAATTTGCGCCCGCTAGTGCAGTCTGAGGAAATATGAAGCTGAACCAAGTCGTTGCGAACCGAGGTCGCGGTGCAGCTCCAAAGGCTTTTGTGTTGGATAGGAGACTGAGAAAGGATAACCAGAGCATGGCTTCGTACAGCCAGAGTGCAGACCAGCTGGCGAGAAGGTGCAGAATTTTTGCACCCATGTTGAGAGAAATGTTCGTACTACCGATTGCTGCATACGGATTCTCGCTGGGACTTGTCATCTCCACCCACCACTGGAGACTTATCGCCATACTTAACAACCCTGGCACTATGAAAGCTAAGAGCCCGACAGAATTGAACATTCCTGGCCTGAGGTCTTCCGAGGGCAACTTGAGGGACATCAGTCGGTAGATGAATGCTGAGTAGATAGTGAGAGAGAAGTTGATAAATAAGTCCAGGTTAAGTGCTTGACTGAATCCGCTAAATGTTTTATTATTTTGAATCTGAATTTTGAGTTCATATTTAAATACAGACGACTTTAAAGAATACGGATTTCATACAATCCTTTATAAATCGATAGATTATTTTATAGGCCTTTTAAATCCTTAAATTCGAGTTATAATTTAATTTTCAATTTTGATATATTTATATAGAAATGTAGAAAATGTAGATTGAAAATGAGAATCAGAAAAAGTAGTACTTACTTTTTAATCTAAATACTCCTCTTATAAACTATTATAAGCTTTATAGTCTAAAAGCTTCAGTATTTTTCTTAAATCAGAGTTTATAATTATATATAAATCTCAATCTCTATTAAATAAAGTTATCACTTTATTTGCCTGATTAATTATTCAGATAATAATAGTAAACTGAAAGTTCAAATACTCTATTTAAAACATTTACGTATTATCTCCTAGAGTGCGGATTACGACCGGCTTCGCTTATAATGCCTCATCAGCTAATCAAAGTATTATAATCTAAGAGCTCTTGAAATCATAAATTGTATTATTTTGGAAATGAAATATAATAGGATTTAAAAACATTATACAATTTTTTTGGGAAACAAAGTATATAAATCTAAAATTAATCTTTCAATTATTATTAATTCATTAGATTCTAATCTTAAATTAAATTTTAATAGTTTTTATATTTGATACAATTTATAAAGTTATTAATGTTTTTATTTGTATACAAACTATATATGCCGGCCGTAAACCGCAGTCTAGGGGATAACATGTATTTCACTTTCTTTCATTTTAATATATTATATAATGTAAACTGTATTCGAATTATAAAAACATAAGTTGATAATTCACTCTTATTGAGGCGCATTACTATTATTATGGATTTAATAGTAGTAGAAAAAACGAATTACAAAGAGCGAATTCAGTACGGATTTAATATAAGAACCTGTCTTAATACGATTTGAGCTTCATTTCGCCTTGATTCCTCTGAATCAGTACGACCGACGCTTTTGTTAAGTGGGATTTCTTGCATTCAATTCAAAACTTGTATCAAGAGTAGCTAAACCTGCTTAAGAGATTGTTAATTGTAAATGTAGAGCTATAAAGCATTGCTGCGACTACGCCGCACCGTATTCGAAATTTTATTAGACACAGTAGAATTTCGGATTCAACATTTTCAAATGAGTGGATTGGATTGATGATAACAACTCTAGAAGATCTACAATGAACAGAGATTTACATCATCAAGAGCTGTCTCACAGCTGCTGTCGTCTCCTCCGGACTTTCCAGGGGCCAAAAGTGGCCGCCCGGTAGGAACGTGACCTCTACTTTTTTTGCGTTTGGAATGTACTTTTTCGCATCCACGTAGAACTCTCGGGGTTGGCTCTTACTGTCATATCCTTGCATGACAAGAACTGGACACTTCCAAGCATTGAGGAGACGGTTTCGACGCTGTAGCCATTCCGCGCGGAAGGAGGAGGAGTTGAAATAACGAGGTACAGCTTTGCTTATGCCCTCGTAGGAGTATTCCTGGATGATCCGGACGAACTCATTTTCAGGCAGTTCCTTTCCGCCAACGAAGCTATGCACCCAAGTAACGAAGCGTACTGGGTCTTTCATTATGCCAGAATACGGAGCATCCATGAAAACGTCGCCTTGTGGAGCGTTCTGAGGATTAAAATGGTAAAGGTGCTGTTCGCCTCGACCATAGCGAATGATGGCTTCAGGATGGTTGGCTACTATGAAATCGCCTTGGACCGTTCCACGATCATGTGTGACAAGATTGAAGCGCTTGACGCCAATAACCTGCAAAAAGGCGAAGAGCTGTTCGCCTGCACCTTCATGCGTGCAGTCGCCAGGCGTTTTAGCAGACTGCCCATATCCCTTCAGATCCGGTGCAATGACACGATGAGTCTTGGATAGAGCAGCCATTTGATGATGCCACTGAAACCACGCATCAGGGATCCCGTGCAGAAAGACAATAACCTCAGCATTGATCGGCCCAGCTTCAACGTAATGCCAACGAATCACATCACCATCCGCAGGCCCAAGGGCAAAATGGTGAGTAAAAGTCACGCCGTCCAAGACCTCAGTATCCCCTTCCTTATCTGGATTGCGTGGCTTGACGAAGGACAGTTCTTTGACCCGCTTGTCGACCTGGTCGCCTACAGGCATGAACGATTCCACTACCTTCTGTGCCCGATCACTCAAGGGCGTGTATTGCAAAGTCGACGGCTGCGCCATGATCAAGATGGTCTCAAAAATAGGTCTATGTGTTGTAAAGGTGTGATGCTTGGGTCAAATTCGTATCGAAGAGTCGACTGCTTTTAACTAGGTCCCTCTGAATTAGTCCGATCTTATCGGAACAGCATTCGAGCACAACTCGGCATCCATCATGAGGGGTCAATTTATCTCTTGTGAGTTTGTGATGGATCCTTCAAGCTGCAGACTCCTAATGGGAATAACCTCCACCATCGATCAGAGACTCGAAACTCCGTAGCCGCACAGAACCCCGCATGTGAGCTAATTCTGGGATCCCTGTTCAATAAGTTCTGTGGTGCCGTTCAGAACCTTTGCTTAAGTCTGTTGCTATCGTGGACTGTTTTCGGCTTATTTTCGGACAGACTGGCAGTTGCCCTGCTGTTCGAGGCTCGGAGGCTCGGGAGTTCCTCAAAGTAAACACAACCCTAAATTACTTCTGAAATTGTTTCAGAAGGACTCGATTATACCGGACTGAAATTTTCGACCAACCAAATTCAGTATAACCAAGATTCTAATGTAAAAAATAGTAATTCAAGCTTTTTAATCAAAATTTATATCCGATTTCAGCTTTAAACCCTGATATTTTCCAAAAAAATATTATATGATTATAACTAATCAAGCTTAATTATTCAAAATATAGTTTATTCAATCAAATTTCTCATCAAATTTCTCATCAAATTTCTCATCAAATTTCTCATCAAATTTCTCATCAAATTTCTCATCAAATTTCTCATCAAATTTCTCATCAAATTTCTCATCAAAATTAATATCCGATTTATAAAAAAAAGTATTCAATATATAGGTTTTAATCGAAATTCCGTTGTTCTCATATAAAATGAAAAAACAAATCAAAATAAAAAAAAAACTCCAGTATATCCAAGATTCCGGTACATTCCAATTCGGTATGGCCAAGTTTTTCTGTATTCATATTTCAGTTCTTTAATCACACTAACCAGCTTTGTACAGATTTTATCTCAAAATGGTACGCGACTGGACCTATCTCATTCGGGTTATTGCAGAGGAAGATGGTCGAATTCATCTAGGCCAGATCGATACGACCAAATTCCGCGATGTTGGACATTGCATCTTTGAGGAGGAACGCGTCGGTGCCCATGCCATCTCAGCCTCAATATCCGATGGGGCCGTCATCAGACAGATTTTACATGTGGATTGAGTGAGGATTCCTTGCCAAAAAGTCACATCAGAGAGTTCTCTACAGACCTAATGCTATTTGCCTGGGTTCTACCTCCGCTCTCCGTCGAACAAGTTCCCTTGATCCGCTGCTTGGTCTATATTATCATGACCACGCCAAAGAAAGCGAACATGGCTAATCCCAATGAGCCAGTGTTGTTCATCAAGCCGCGAACGGCATTCAACTGCGGATTCCCGGCAAAGGTTGATGAAGGATGTTTGTAGTTGCCATTCTCCAACTATAAGATGCACGCTGACAATCGATACAAAGGATTTGATGAATCCGTATCAATTGGCCCTGTCTTGGTATTCCCATCTGTGATTATAGATCCTCAGAACTTGGCCGTTGAGGAAATTTACAATTCGAGCATTGTACAAAATACCAACTCGACGGAAGTAGATTCTTTAAGATGGACCTGTTTTGAGAGCTAACCATTCTCTTATTGCAGGGAAATGATATTTGGCATTGGTCAAACCATAGTGTCATATAATATATGGAATTAAATTAAAGAAAAGGACGATTATTATGACAAGCACAGGGTCTGGAATTGAAATGATGAGAGAACCATAGTTGATCCTGAGTAATGGTGATGATGTGCTGGTGCACATTGAAGCAATTAGAACCTTGATGAGTCAGGTATATCACAAGAAATAGACTTGGATGAGAATATATGGAGAGAAGGATCTACGCCGAAGCTAACCCAGATATTATCTTCTAGAACATCACTTACAGCTGGCTGACAGAAGTCATGCGGTTCTGGTTTGATTCCGTCAAGCTATCAATGGGTATAAATACTACTTCATGTATAGACAGTCAGGCAGAACCTAGGTGAGATGATATAAGTCCTGTTGTAAATCTAACTTATATTCTTCTTTTGCCCCCTAAGTACTATATAGTTATTTTCTTCTTGTTCTTTAGATAGAATCGTAAAAAATGATTTTTCCTAATATTAAAAGTTATAGGTAATGAAACTTAACTCTTGAGTAGTTGAAGAGAGTAATTTAGTCTTTTTATTACTCTACTTATTTCGATTTATTCTTTACCATATCAGTCGGATACTTTACTTTCTAGCCACCCCCCCTTTTGGGCTACCTTTTTATACCAAAGATAGATTTTTTTAACTTTCTTATTTATGAATAAAATTTACTGAAAATTTAAATATATGTAATTTAGATTCTTTTAGGTTATTTTGAAAACTTTAGGTTTTTAGAATTTTTCTAGATTGATTTCTAAGCTTTTAAAATGTCTATTTTTAAATTTATATATACAAATTTAAAACTTTCATAAAATCTTCAATAATTCTTTAATAAAAATCACTAAAAATAAACTATAAAATCTCAATATAAGTTTACAAGCTTTTTCTCGGCCCTTTGTGGCTAAAAATAACAACGGCCTCGCTAGCGCTCTCCGTAGTTATTTTAATGCTACTCAGGATCTACGCCTATGCTCGTGCTGTGCAGCTTTTTAATAATAATAATAATAATAATAATAATAATAATAATAATAATAATAATAATAATAATAATAATAATATAATAGAATAATAATAATAATAATAATAATAATAATAATAATAATAATAATAATAATAATAATAATAATAATAATAATAATAATAATAATAATAATAATAATAATAATATAATAATATATAATAATAATAATAATAATAATAATAATCATAATAATAATAATAAATAGATTTCGCTAGCCTCTCGCTTCTAGCTCGCATAAGGGCGCCGAAGGCGCCTTTAAGCTAAATCTAATAATCTAATAATCTATAAATCTAATAAATCTAATAAATCTAATAAATCTAATAAATCTAATAAATCTAATAAATCTAATAAATCTAATAAATCTAATAAATAAATCTAATAAATCTAAATCTCCTCCCTCTCCCCCTCCCTTTCTCCCTCCCTCTTTCTAATCCCCCTCCCTCTCTCCCTCCCTCTTTCTAATCCCCCTCCCTCTCTTCCTCCCCCTTCTTCCTCCCCTTTCTCCTTCTCCCTCTCTTCCTCCTTTTTCTAATCCCTTTCCCCTTTCTAATTCCTTATCTTTCTTATTACAAATCCCGAATCTTCAAATCAATCAAAAATATTTATTCAATTTTTCAAAATCTTCAATCTTCAATCTCTTCAATCTACTCTATTCTTTAATTAATTATTTCTTTCATTAACTATAACTTATTAATATAAAAATTATATTATTAAAAAATTTTTAATTCATAGAATCCTAAAATCCCTTTCAATTTCATTTCATAAATTCTCTACTTTGATTTGTTGATTGATTAATATAAAAAAGCATTTTGATATTCATATATAGAGTATCCATACTTTTTCTCGACCAATCAGCTTCCAGTTATAAATCGTGTTTTAAAATATGTATATTAGGGATAGTATATTAACTTTTAAAGATTTAGAAAAATAGATTTTTTTGATAAATAGCTATTTAGTATTTAGAGGGGCACTCTCGAAATTTTATAGATTATTTATACTACTCTAAACTCATTATATATTTTATTTCTATATCTGTTATTTTTTTAAAAAAATTTCTATATAGATTTAAATTCAAAACTTTCAAAAATCTATACAGTTCTTTTTAATAATCATTATTAAAAAGTTATTAAAGATTTTTGTATAAATTAAAAAATCAATATTTCAAAGCTTGAGATCGAAATGTAGAGAAATACTAAACATCTAAAAATTTCAGAATAAGTATAAAACAGTCTGAATTATATAAATACTTATTTTCAATGAATTCCACTTATAAATAAGAAAGTTAAAAATACCATTTTTTGAGATTTTTAATAATAAAGAGTGGCGCAAAACAGAGATAATTAGAAAGTAGAATGAATACTCGACTTAATAATATTATTACTAATAGTATTTTAAGTTTTTGAATATTATAAATAATCAAGCAAAAATGTTTCTCGAAAATCCTCTAATGTTATTATATTATATTATAATATTTAGTTTTTTTACTCTCTTATATTTATCTCTAAAGGAATTTTATTATTCTTTATAGAAATATTACTATTAATAGAAATAATATTTTATTGATTCAATAAAAGAATTTATAATCGAAATCTATTACTTTGATTAATTATTTTACGAAGAAAAAATAGTTATTATATTTAAGAATTACTACAAATGAATAATTAGTTATAATAAATTCTCTAAAAAGCTTTATTATTTTTACTTTATAAGTTGTTCTTATTATATCTACTTTAAAAAATATATTATTCTTTTATATGAGAAAAAATGAAAATATTTTTAGTCTGATTCTTCGAGTAATAAATTCTGTTAATATAAGCTTTGAAAATAATAATTCTAATTTTATTATTAATTCTCTTATTTTATAACTAATAACTATAAAACATCTTTTTAATTTTTAATAATTTTTTATTATTATCAATCAGAAATCAGATTTAGTCTATAATTTTATTAATAATCAAAAACTTATTATTGTTTTATTATCAAATTATTCATTGAAAATATAATAATTACAATAAATAAAAATTTCTATTTCAAACTACTTTTTAGAAAGATATCAATCTGAGATTATCTTTTTCAATTTCTGAAAATATAATTTCTCTAAGAAATATAAAATAATTCTTTATATCGGGAGCCTGCTAGTCCTCGGGCTTATTATCTTTTAGAAAAGTATAATATAATAACTGTTGGAAGTTGTAGTACGTACGCTACGCTACTGTGCATATATTACTTCCACTTTATAATTAGATTTTATCTTAATACAATTAATCTATATAGTCAATATTATATATATTCCA